CAAGTCCCTTGGGGCAGGAAGGAAAGGAGGGAACCGACAGGTGCTGTTCCTGCGGCGGGACGGGACAGGACAGGACGGGGGGACAGGGCAGGGTATCGGGGCTGGGATCTTCCCGGGAAGAAGGCTCCACCCTGAGGTCTCAGCTGCCAGAAAGGGGAGGGGGGCAGAGCTCACACGCAGCAGTGTTTCACCAACAATAAGCCACAACTTTTATTATTTGATAGAAATAGTACAAATTTTAAATTTAGTTGGATTTTACTCTTCTCTGAAACACCAAAAACAGCTCCTCCGTCTGGCTACATCGTCAACTCCTGTGGCCCCCGCCCGCCCCCATCGCTCACCATTATGGCGTTTACGATGTCGTTGCTGTTGTTCTTCAGGGCACGCACGGCCTTGGCTCGCGACACGTTCGCCTGAGACATCACCAGCTCGATGTCTTTGACCTCGACGCCAGTTTCGTCAACCTGAAAGAGACAGAGCCTGGGATTCACCCCTGAGCCCCGCATGGTTTGCTCCATGCCCAGCAGAAGAAAAATGGATTGTCTGGATTGGGGCAGCCTCACTCAGAACAGCCAAACAAGCAGGGAGGCAAGTCCAGGCACTGTCCAACCCTGGGGACAGGCCCCTGCCAGGGTCCAGAACCAGATCCCTCAGGGGAAGGGCCCCATGCTTCTCCTTTGCCATCACAGCAAAGATGTGCATGAGGGACAGAAAACCATGGACATGCAGGGAAGTGCACGGCCCTGCAGGGCTAGGCCAGCTGTACCTCCTCTTCCTCACTCTCCTCCTGCACGGTGGGGGTCTGTGTGTTTTCCTGGATGTTTGACACTGGCTCTCCTTGCACTTTGAACTTCTCTGCAGCTGCCAGCTGTGCCTGCTGGGACAGGTCTTCGATCTGGAGGAGGGAACAGGCACGAGTGAGGACCCTGGGCAGAGCGGGATGTTGGCATGTCTGGCACCTCTGCCCCACACCCCACCAGGAAGCCAGCCCACGGCAGGGGGCACATGGGGGGCACAGAGGAGCCCCAGCCAAGCAGCCACCAGACACGCTCCCCACCCACCTTTGCCTCCCCAAAGACAATGTAGGTGTCTGATGCAGGGCTCTTGTACACGTCTGGCTTTGTGATGACAAAGAGGATGTTCTTGGATTTCCGGATGGTGACTCTGGTCACTCCTGTCACCTGGCGAAGGCCCAGTTTGGACATTGCCTGAAAAACAGGAGTGGAAGATGAGGGAGAGTCACTGAGTCTGTGGAAAGCTGCATCCACTCAGCTGTTCCCCCGAGACCGGGCTCCACAATCGTGCTCATGCACATGGAAATGTGCCTTTTGCTGCTGCAAGAACTGCTCATGGGCTTCAGCCTGACATGGAGCTGGGAGAGAACTCCCTGTTCCCAGGGCTGCCAAGATCCACAGCAGGACCCTGAGTCCCTCCAGAGGGATTTTGCTGATGAAGGGGCAGAAAGTCGCTCACACCTCCCTCGGCTCCCGCTGCCACCCTGAGCGGGGCTCACAGGGTGATGCCCCCAGGGCTGCCACCATCCCAGCTCACCTTCCGCGCTTTCTTTTCGCTCCGGCTCTGTTTTGCTTTGCTGACAGGTTCTTCATCTATTTCAGCTGCTGCTGCAAGCTGCAAGGAGAGGAAGCAAGAGGGAGCCATGAGAATCCTGAGGCACCAGCAGACAGCACCAGCAGGGATCCTTGCTCCGCCCTACCTGTGCTTGCTGTGTTGTGGCCTGTGTGGAGTCCTGCTCTTCAAGCTCTGGTACGGATTCATCGCTGTCAGACTCTGTTCCGGACCCTACAGAAACACACAGATCAGTGTCCCAGCTCGGAGCCCGTGGGACGTGGCAGGTGACAGACCCATGCTGCATTGGTGCTGCCTCTGCTGCGGGGACCGACGTGGCTCCAGTCCAGCAGCTTCTAACTCTGCCACTCCTGTAACCGCCAGCATCGGGTGGCACAGGAGCCTCTTCCGAGTACTTGGGAGCAGCCCGGAGCTCCCCCTGCTGCCCCTGAACATGACACAAAACCCAGACCCAATTCATCGAGGTCTCCTGGGGAGGTAATGATTTGCGATTGCTGTGAAACCCCCCGAGGAAACAGTGTCCTTAGACACTTTGGCTTCTACCAGGGCCTAGGGCTGCTGGAGCTGGGGGGACTGCCAGCTCCTACAGCACCACGACCAGCTTGTGAACCACAGCACAGCCGTGTCCCACCATTGGAGTGAAGGAAGCAGAGCCAGATGTCTCAGACCAGGATCCCAGAGAGTGACCCAACGCCCTCCCACGCAGCCATTACCTGGATTTGGTCCCATTTCCAGCCCTGGAAGGGGCCTCTTGCCCTCGGCCACACACAGAGCCCTTGGCAAAGCTCCGCAGGCTGCCGGTGCCACTGGGGGATGCCAACAATTGAGGCAGGAGCTTCCCCAGGGCATGGGGACATGGCTGTGTTGTCCCCAGCACTGGCAGCAGACAGGGACACCTCCCGCGGTGCAAAGCCAGCCCAGCCCAGATGCCGCCCCGCGCCACAAGCCACACTGTGCTCCGTGCCCAAGAACACGCGTTAGTGACACCGGGGTGCTGGCACCGGGCCATGCTGAGCCCCGACCTGCCCCCTCTGTGCCCACGGGGCATCTCCCCGGCTGCTTGGGCAGGGTGGGCTCTGGCACAGCTCAGGCCTGGGCCCACCGTGGCACCACCCGGCACAGCCTGACCCAGTGGGCGGCGTGCAGGCAGCCAGGGCCCCACCGTGGGTTAGTATCTGGTGGGCAGACAGGAAAACTCCATGCCAA